CTGTGATAATTGCTGAGCAAAGGAGAGTGGCTTCTTGTTAATCTGCTTCTGATGAAATTTGCTCTATTTAAAAATGGGACAGTCAAACGACTACCTCTCTTGTAAGGTACCAAGTTCCTATGCTGCAGCAATATGCCCATACTAAGAAAACTGGTTTTTGTGCTTCATGTGTTTTGAGCTGAAGTGAAGCAGAGTGCTGGTTACCTCTCTTTGGGGAAGACCTTCATAAAGTAAACATGAAATATTCATGAAAGGCCATGCTCAACTTTGGTTCCTGGTAGAATTTCTAAGGTTGCCTCAGATGGGGTGCTGCACCTCTCCTGTGGGACAGAGGCACTGGCTCATGCGGTCGTTATTTCAGCTCAGTCACTGAATCCTCGTGTGTGTCTCCCCTGGCACCTCTGTATTTTGTGTGTGTCTATGCGCTTCATCAGTCACCCTGACACTAGACCCTCAGAGCATCAGTCCTCCCAGTTTCAGTTTCACATGCTCCTTTGGTTTTCATTACAGATTGACCTTTATAACACTGTTTTCCCACCAGCTGCTTCTTCCCATCAGCTTCTTGAAACCATCAGACAAAATATTTGGTAGAAATGTTAAGGAAATCTACGCAGCACCTCAGCAGGGTAACCTGATGCTTTTAGCTTCTTTATTAATAGACTAGTTTATGGCAATTGCTTGAGGCTTTCTTGCATTGTGTTACCTGTGGTGCTAGTTTCTGATCACAGATAAAAGACTTAAGGTAGTTTATATCGGTTACTGATCGGTTCTTAGCAGTTTAGTCACTGTTGATATCATGGTGTTGATATGAAATGAAGGGCTCTTAGGGAAATAGCTTTTTCTTCCTGCAAAATTCAGTTCAGTTAAGATGTTCTTGGCCTTCTTCCTGTCGCCTCATGCTTGCTCTCATGTGAGTGCAAGGTGTCAGTAGGATGAGGCAGGCCATAGAACCAGCCCTCTTGTGAGTACTTCAAGCACAGGTTTGGTGGCTATCAGGATGTGGTGAAAAGCAGGCAGTTTGCTCGTTAGCTTTGCTGGTGAGTGCTTTGATTCCCCCAACCGCTCTAGGAAAAGTGATTCTTCTGTTATTTCTAAATCATGGGGTACAGACTTCCCAAGTTGAATGACACAGTAAAGTACCTGCTAGGCCTAGGTTAGGATGTTCTGTATGTTCTTGTTCTGAGTCTCGCATATGCAACAGAGCTTTTGTAACTGTAACTTCTAGAAGTAAGTAAATCAGATGAGATAGTGAAATATTACCTAATAGTATCTTAGCACAGATATCTTTGCACATTCACGTGGAGTTAAGTACTGGAAAGGTTTATTCTGGTTATTCAACTGGTGAATTCTCCTTTGTTTCTGTGAGTATTTATTAAAATACCTTAATGTGATAAGGGCAATTACAGGGAATTTGTTTTGCTTCAGTAAATTATTTTTATGCAGTATGTTTGCAGCATTCGTTTAGGGTAAAATTGGCTAGCTGAAACACACCCTTTCCACTTTATTTAGTATTCACTCAGTGGTTTCTGCTCAGTGTGGTGTGTGGTTAGAAAAAGGTATACAAACGGAAATGAAAATGAGTCTCAAGAAACTTGTAACAGAAACTGCTGGAGGTTCAAGTGAATGGTATAGCATACAGAGGCAGCCTTGCAAAAAATCAGGGGAGTCATCTTATTGACTGCAGCCTTTGCAGAAAGGCGCTGTAATGTTTGAAGCTTCCCTTACACACAGCTGCCTTTGGGAGATGAGCTCTCCATGTAAGTGGCCTAATGGTCAGGAATGCAGAGTACCCAGTGACAGTTCTTCATCTGCAACTATGAGCTGGAGCCGCTTCTTACTTTGGGCTTTTTTTTTTTTTTTTTTTTTTTTTTTACTCCATAGATTTTGTTGATGCTGCACACTTTTGAAAAGCTGGTGATCTGTTAATATGTGCACACTTTATACATGCGCGTGCAGCCGTACGGACGTCCAAGTTAGGCATGTACTGAACTGGCTTTCTGGTTAAGTGAGAGCTCATAGATGGAGGTTCTGGCAGATCAACCTGTTTGGTAAAAGGAGTGATAATTTATATATGCTGTGTGTGCAAGTCTAGAATACTTCTCCTGTTCCTGGAGATGCTGAAAGAATAAAAAAAAAGACAGATCCAGAACAGCTAAGTATGGTGATCCCTGCGGTCCCAGCCTTCCTCTGCAGTCCCAGCCTTCCTCTGAAGTTGCCTCACTTGTGAGTATGGGTGTTTTGCCCAGAGGGCCCTGGTGCAGAGCACTGTCCTAGTCACCAGGCAGTTTATATCTCTGGGAGATTCTTAACAAATGAATGACATGACATGAGGACAGAGGCAAGGACTATCCAAGCTTTGATTCATGCTGTAAAACTGGTTCATAGCATAAGTCAAGAGACAGTTCAGAGTCATTTTCAATTTTTGCCTATTCACTTAACCTAACTTTTATTTTCTTAAGTTAGAATAACTCCTGTATCGAAACAGTCGATACTTTTCTTATATTCGCTTCTGGAGACTGCTGGTCAGTATTTCAGTCATTCAATTCCCTGACAAACTGTGATTTTTCTATGTCACTTCTTAAGAACTCTGACTCATCTGGTTTCCATTTCAACTGTTGATATGTTTCTCTCATCTGCCTAGTGGATGGTTGAATGCAATTAATATAGTGAATATTATAGCAAAGAACTGATTTCTGACTGCTGTCTTATGCGAACATGCACTGAATCAGACCAAAAAAGTGATTACTAATTGTGGGTCTTTAGCTCTACTGATTCTCTGAGCAGAATCTAAGTCTATGTACTGGTGTCTTAAAGCAGGCAATAGAATGTGTTTTACCTTTTTTGCACGTGACTGCCGAAAAGCCTTTGACTTACAAAGATGTGCCCACGGTTGGGAATAGAATATTTATAAGCTCTTCATTTTGTCTTAGTTTAATCATTTGCTGTGCAGAACATTTAGTATTTTTCAAGATTAGTGCCCTATCATGTTCTTGGAGCTCAGTTATTACATGAAAAACGAGGTCAGAAGGACCATTAAAATGTACACAAATCTCTAAATCTGCCTATTAATTTAAACCTATCACTGTGTTAAAGACGAGGCTGAGGATAACCCTATAGAGATTTATTTGACAATAGCAGCACACTGGAAGCTTTCAACTCGCCCCTTGCTCAGGGCAAACAGTTCACCTCATTCTCTGGACACTCCATGGCGTGTGCTGTATCACTCTTGATCAGTTTGAACCGTAGACAGACCTGCTTTCTGAGCTAGTTAGAGCTCTCCTAAGTTTCTGAAGGAGCCAGTGAGAGACGCTAGCGCCTCTGCTCAGCTGCTGCCGCACTGTTGGACCAGCAGATCGTGTGAACTCCCCGTGCCCTGTTCTATCAGGTGATTATAGGCGATATTAGCACAGAAGCTTCAATTTGAGTTTCAATTTAACTTTGGGTTAATATCTACTGTATCTTTTTTTTTTTTTTTTTTTAACTTCTGCTCTTCATGAAATAGGGTAAACCTGTCTGCCGAATTGAACTACATTTAATGGAGAGAAGTTTCAAAGATTAGTTTCCTGCACATGTGGTATAAATCGAATGGGTAAAAGAGAGTCTCCCAAACTGGTGTCCCGTCTGTTGAAGGACTGCCAAAGGAGCCTGGAATTCATCCGGGTAGACTTGCAGCCTGGGCAGTCAGCTTGGAGTCCATCAGGGCGCGTGTTGCCCTGCGTGGAGGAGCAGAGTGGCAGGGACGTGGAGGAAGGGAGGAGAAGCACCGAAGAGCTGTTGTGGAGTAGAGAACGGCAGAGGGTCAGACTTGATCAGTTCTACTGACGGTGCAGTTTACTGAGCAAAAGGAAGGGCCTCGGCTCTGGGGCTTGCTCTTAACATTTGCTACGATGCTTTTTAAAGGCATGGAACTTGTTGCTCAGTTTCTAACCTAGATTATGTTGTTCTGTTAGTGGGTGAAGTTTAATGTTCTTTTTCAGTGCTGTACAATTTAGTTTTCTGCTATAGTAATAGATGCAGTTTCGTATGCTGCGAATCTTTCTTACTTGCTGCATCCACTTTGCCTTGTGCTTTGTTACTGTGTTATGTAGCTACTGTTGCTGCTGTTCTGAGTAATAACTACATGTGTGCTCATACAGGGCAATATAGTTAACATTCAAAAAATAAAATATTCTTTTATGCTTGAATAGGTATCCAATTGTGGTTCAAGCCAGCTAGATTCTGTCATCAGTCCTATGCAAAAATGAATGCAGAAACTTACACATAGTGTTTGTTACACAAATCCAAACTTGTAAACATTGCGACATGTTTTGATGCCCTTGGTCTTCTCCGAAATAGAAGGAAAAGCAGTTTAAAAGCCTGTTTGCTGTAAGGAACAATTTAAGAAAATGTATTTTAGGACTTTTGGGTCTACCTTGAGAGTATGCATAGGGTAGCATCTGAGGACTTCCACCTAGGAGATAATTGAGTTACAGTCATAGCTATGTATAGAACCCAACCCATGTGTATTTTCTTTGGCAAAATGTATATCAACTGAGCAAAAAGTTCACATGCATTCAAAAATATCTCCGTTCTGTTTAAGTTCAGGCATATCACTGATTGACTGATCTGAGTCAATATCATAATTCTTTTGTGCTTTCATTTATTACTTTACTTTAAAGGTTATCTTGATTTTCCTAAAGATAGGAAGTGCTTTGCTAGGCTGAAATTGGTATGCATATTTATTTCCAAGTACTTTCAGTGATTTTAGTTTTTTTGTTTGGTTGGGGTTTTTTTTGTTTGGTTTTTTTTTTTTTTTTTTTTGGTAAGGGTCTTCTCGATCCTTTTAATGGAACGCAATGTTAAAAAACAAATCAGTATTCAGAAAATGTGGTACTCCCTACTTTCTTAAAGACAGGTGAACAGACTTGTTTGAAATTAGGATGCTGAAAAGCTCTCTTGCATGCTGTTTACCAGGTTTTGTTAAGATGCTGATAAGAATACTCTGCTGCCTTATTTTTCAGATTTAGAAGGAAATGCCCATCAGAATAACCAGCTGCTAAAGATAATTCTGACCATGCATCAATTTATCATCTCCTCTGCGGACATGCTCCAGAAGCTCATTGATCTATATCCTTTTTAACATTCATCTGCTGTTGACGTGAAAGTAGATACACTTGACAATGTTGATGTTTATAAATAAGGAATAGTAAATGGATGGGTACACTACTGTGCTATCAATAAAATAAAATACTGATTTTTAACTTTTTTTCTTCTAATCTCCAGAGACAAAGTGCAACTCCCAATCGGATTTTAGGTAGCATAATTCAACCTTCCTTGGCTATTTACTATAAAATAAACATCTTCTTAAGAGCTGTTAGATTAACTTAGGCACCCCAGTTAATTACGGTGAGCATAGGTCTAAATTTCAGATCTCTCTCTCTCTCTCTCTCTCTCTCTCTCTCTCTCTCTCTCTCTCCCCCCCCCCCCCCCAACCCCCCCATGCAAATAGAAGAGCAAGTAATTTTTGAAAACATCCTAAGTCTTATTGTATCACTTGGATGCATTACATTTTCACAAATACTCTTTCTCAGACAATTCAAAATTACAATTTGCACTGAGGAAAATTAATATATCTCCTAGTTATAAAATATATCTTATTGATTTATTACTATTTTTTAATATTGTTCCTATTGTTGCTATTTTGAAGTCACTACCTAGATTCATATATGTTTGCTGCTAATGAGATTTTCACAGCAGCGATTAAGATCATATTGGCAGTACCAGTCTGTCTCATTTAGAAGTTTTTAGGCGTGGAATTTCCTGACTCATTAGCTTTACAGAATGTTACTGCTAAATAGGTGTGCACAATGCACTTAGGAAGCAGGCCTAATATTCTAAGAATCTCTAATCAGTTCTGGTATGATTTATTTTAGGTAATTCTTCTTCTGGGCTCCGTATCTCACTGGGTTAAAGGCATCATCTTTTACGGCAGAGATTTGTTGTAACGTTAGATTCTTACCATCCTGATGCTTCACTAACCACAATGTGGAGTAAACTACCAGTGTGGTATCTTGTCGTGTTAAATTTAGGCTCGTGTTATTTTGAAAATGGAAGAAAGTAATTGCTAATTGCCTGTCTATTTCTGGGAAGTAACACTTTCTACAATCAGAGAAGGAATTCAAACTTTTACCAAATCAGATTTGCATATTTTGCATGTTTGGATTTTGACTTTGCATATATCTCCCTGCAAAACCAGCAAAAAGTAATGACAGATTTGTATTCATTAAGTACTCTGGGCTCTTGTACTTTAAAACAAAACAAACAAAATATTTGTATATCCTGGTTTCATTATTTTCCATCCCGAAATTACTTCGGTGTAGTTAGATAGTTTTTGATGATTTCAACACCATCTAACCTTAGATCTTAATCTCGGAGCCATTCAAAATACTTGAATACATTCAGAATACCTATTCAAATCTCCTTAGCTTCACAGGCAGCGTACTTTAAGCACCTAATCCTGGCATTAAAATCTTGGATGGGGTGTATCCCATAAATTGAAGTAGATTGAGGTTGCAGTCAAAATCAGTTGGATCAAGAGAGAGTCTGTAAGATATTTGCAAGAATAATTTTGTGTGATACTGCAAATACACGTGCAATTGCCAGCACAATCAAAATATGCATAACTTTTTTTAAGTGGATTTTTACAAAAACATGTTATTTTGCTTCAAAAACCTGATAGATTAAGAAGGTTTATTTGCTCTTTTTGTTTGATTGTTTTTATTTTTTCCTCTTCATAACTATGTCAGTATGTCAAATGGAAACTATTGAGCAGTTAGAGAGGTGAGCTGAGTGAAGAAAAGATATTTCAGATTTTTTTACACTTATATTTAAATGAAAACGGCATCCATTTTAGAAGTAGTTTGAGTGAATCATAATTAAGTAAAGGATTATCTTTATTATTAAATTATTATTAATTGAAAATTATTTTTTTCAATGAACTTAATATTCCTTCATGTGAAGGGGTTTTATAGTAAACTGTGAAGCAGGTTTCAAAGGAGCATATGTAGAAAGCAGGCTCACTTCATTGCGCTAAATATATTACGCTCACTGCTTGGCGCTCAAGTGGCTATGTCAGCACAAAGTATTACAGCTTTCCTGTTCACAACACATTTCTTGGTGTGCACATTGTCTGTGTTTTGTATAAAACCTTAATCTGATATAAAATAACATCACTGGTATGATTCCTATTGATTATATAAAGCATGTTATGTTTCTTGTCATATACAAATGGCTGTGGTTTTCCTTAACATTTCTTCTACCTATTTTAATGCTTTAGAAAAGAAATCTTCAATGGTATGTGTAAAGATATGTTATTTTGTGAGGTAAGAATATATTTTACTTGCTTATTATTAGGTTGTGGCTGCTCATGTGCCGTAAGAATGCTTTTGCTCATCTTAAGCTCGCACTGAACAGAGAAACAGCTGTTCTCCTACAGATTTTCAAGATTTGCTTAAGCAGCTTCAGACAAAAATGCTTGTGTGGCCTCTGTAGAACCATGGAAGTGAGTGCAAAAATTAATTGGGTCATAATTTTGAACTGTTTCTCTATGAATCTGTGTCCTAAACATCCGCGAAAACTTAAGAGTGCTCAGGAATGGGTAGCACGGTGTCTAATGTTTGTGTCTACTGTAGACCTATTTTTAAAAACAAGTAGACAGGAATATTGCAGCTATTTTTATATTAGGCAAAACTTTTGTATTCAATAGGTGATTCTCCTTAGTCTTAGATCTCTTGCAGTGTTTGTGGGTCATAATTTTCTTTGAATTATTTGTAATGCAAAATTCAATGTCCTGATTTAGAAGAAATGAGGGTTGATTTGACTGTGCTATCAGATTAGCATATAATATATCTCCTTTACATAAAGTGGGGAGTAAATAGTAACAGTTAGCAAGAATCAGGTCTTGCTTTTGCCCCCCTTCCCCGCCTCTAGTTTTTCCCCTTAAATGAGATAATTATTCTTTTTTCTTAGGGTCACTGGCTAGGCCAGAATGCTTTGGTGTTGTGTGTGATCTGAGAACATTTTTGCTTGCAAGCAGCATTCATAAATACTTAGGAATGTGCATTTTCATATCTGCAACAAGCACAGATTTTCACATTAGTTGGTCACAAGTCACACAGAGGAATTGGATTTTTTTTTATAACTGAAACAATTAAAATGCCTAGGGTACAAAAATGTAGTCTGAGAATGTTGTCTTTTCACCTATTTATGTAGGTGAAAAAAATCACCTGTAAATTATCAAATATATTTTATATATTTAATATTTAACCTTTTATCCAGTTAATTGAATTCTTATTGTTATAGTGTACTTCCCTAATATTAGCCAAATAATTTCAAGCTTTACATATTTATGTAAAGTGATTATAGAATTTGATCAAATTCTACAAGCTCATAAGAAATATATATATCTATATATGATGTAAAACTGAATATACTGACATTAAAGTTGTTGCAAACATACATGGTCAATAATTTTACACAGCATTAAACCAAATTATTTCTCATTAGTTTTTCAATTTTTAATTTTTAATTTTAGATTTCTGATAAAAGCAAGTAGAGAAAACTTTTAATAGCAAGATTTATTCCATAAAGTTTATCAAGAAGAAAAAGAAACTATCAACAGGAAAAACCATCTACATCTCAGTCTTACTGATACACAATATATTTTTTTTCCCCCCCTGTATTTTCAATTTACAATAGATATTGGATTACAGAGTTCTGGGTCATGTTCAAAATGGACTCCAAATTAAACAAAACTATGGAGAAATTTCAAGAACTGGTAAAAGCTAATGGTGAGGAGTCACATTGTCATCTAATTGACACAACTCAAATGTGAGTGTTGAAGTTCTGGTATACTTGTAAAACAAACTTTTGCTATCAGTTTTCCTGTAATAAAATATTATGTTTCTCTAGCATGGCAGGATAATGGTCCTGTAGCAAGATAGTTTCAGTCAATTACAAGATAACAGTCCTGCTTTAACCTGTTTTTCCAAGAGTTTGGAACTATGTAGTATGGAAAGAAGTAGAATGACTTCTAAGAATGGCTGGGATTGAATTTTAACTGTCCTGTAGACCTTGTAGTGATTCACTGTGCTGGATAAATTTTACTTTATTCAGGGAATTCAGAAAATTTATAAAGAATGAAAGATATTGAGAGACTACCTCAAGTCAATGAGGGAGGAAAATGCATTTTAATCAGGTAAAACATAAGGTTAAAAAAAAAAAATTGCCTTTTTAAAGCCCCAGGTCAGAGAGTAGGTAGAGTTTATTTCACTATCAAACTCTTGATTTTATTATATTTGATTTTAGTTGTGAAATGACATGTCCTGTACAAATAAATCCCACAGCTATACTTCACATAATTTTCCTTTGGGAAGTGAGCCATCCTTTTAAAATAAGAGCAAGATAGCACTGTGGAACTGTCCAATGGTGGAAATTCATGTCTTGATTGGAAATGCATGAGCAAAGCAGAATGGAATTTGACATACGCTCTATATCTGACTATGAAAAGAGGATATTTAGATTTTGAAATCCAATTCACTCTCATTACTCCATAGACAAATAGCATAGGGGAACATCTTGTATTCAGAGGCAGGTCAGTGAAATATGTTGAGAACTGAGAAAAAGAGCACTGGGATATATTCAATGGAGACAGAGAATCAGGGATAGCAATTCTGAGAAAGCCATTTTGTGTTAATAATATAGTTGTACTGAAATTTCATGTTACATTAAGACAAACAATATTTTTTGTCATATAATCCTTAATGAGTGAAAAGAACTTGCTCTTTAGAAATTCGAATAATTCCATTTTCATTGCCAGAGTGTGAAAAGAGTGTAACTGTGTTTTCTGTTATGAGGAGAAGAAAAGTTTGCTCTTCAGAAGATAACTCAGTTTTGTTTTAAAACTTGTCTAAAAGAAATTCCAGGGATTGGTCTAGAAAGCTAACACAGCGTGTGAAGGCCAACACCAGTAAGAAAAGGAAAGTCTCCCTTCTTTTTGATCACCTTGAGCCAGAGGAGCTCTCAGACCATCTTACCTATCTTGAATTCAAGTCTTTCAGAAGAATATCGGTAAGCAAATCATTTTTTTTTTTTATAACAAAGGTGCAAAGCTGGTAGCAAAGGTGGAAGAGAGCTGGTGTTACCAATGTATTAGTGTTACCAGTGCCCAAGTGACTGGACACTGCCAAAGTGGCCGTGTTGCTAGAAACTTGGAAAGAGTAAGGCCGGTTACAACATCCATGGAGAAGCTGCTGCCAGTGTACCGGCCCTGCGGGTGGATGAGGTGTGCGGAGGCCTGGCCCGGGCCGCAGGCAGAACCGTCTCTCGCGGGCGCCGTGCGAGCGGCGGAGCTGTCGCGGCTCCCGCCTCGGCTGCGCCCTGACAGCATGGGCGGCCTGTGCGGTGCCCCCATGCAGTAACCAGCCGCTGCGTTGGCAGGAGCTGAAGTGTTACTGGGGAGCAGGCTAACCTCCAAATGTATGGACAGATGCACACTGCTCTACCATTCTATATCCAGCCTTTTCTGCTTTGCTAGTGTTGAAATTGCCAATGATACTTATTCTTGACACATACCTTCTGGCTTCAGGCATCTCTGCCAAGGCAATGACCATTTTAAGTGATTATTGAAGAGAGTTGGAGCAGAGTCGGTTGCAAAGACGAGCCAAAAATTTGATCCTCTTCCAAATAATCTGTTTTTATTTGAACAAATAGTGTAATTATGTGGGGTAATAAAAAGTCCCCTTTGACTCAGATCAGTAATCAGGGGGAAATGGGATGAAGGGAATTTGGGATAGCTCCTATAATACTAATTTCCTATGGCAGAAGAGAACAGTATGCATTCCTTTGAAGTGCCTAAGGGACGCTATATATTTAAAAGATCCATTGGAATCTGCTTGCCATTTTTTCGTGTGTTTAACAACAACAAAACTTTAGGGATAGAAAAACACTTTGGAAATGCCATTAAGCTTTTACTGATAATGACAGGTGAAGTGTTTTGTTAGCAGACCTTTCAAGCACATGAACTGTTCTCCTGGGGGTGTCTCTTTTTTTGTTTTGTTTCATTTGTTTTGGTTTTGCAGCTTCATTGGTTATCTGATAAAACACTAACTTCCTTATGCACCTTGGTCTCCTCTACATCCGTCTGTGCTACAACATTACTGCTATTATTCAAGCTTGGTACAGCTCACATGTGAAACAAAAGAGGGAACTCAAGAGACTAAAATCTAAGCCAGTGGCCAAGTCAGTGCCATTATAAGAGTGAGAGCAAGTAAAAGATAAAAATCTAGAATAGAAAGATGAAATCTTGTAGGAAGGAGTCTCCCAGATTGCAGAAGATCTCAAGAGTTGTGTGTGGTTGTACAGCTGCACTTCATGCTGAGCTGAAGGTACATGACTCTTCATGCATTGTGTAAAATTCCAAGAGCTGTACAACCACACACCAAAGTCGAGCAAAGGCAGCTACCCGTAGGCAGTAATGGTCCTTAAAGCTTATATAACTGAACACTCCCAAAGATCTCTGTAGGCATGGAGTCATTAGTGACTAATGAGCCTAGCAAGTATGAGGCACAGTCACAGGCTGTTTTGTCAGAGCTCTGCGGCTCTGGAACGTGGTCCCCGCATACATTTTGCTTATAAATTGAAATTAAAATGCTAGTTTACTGAAAGGTGGAATTGCAGAATGTTTTATTCCCAAATAGCTTTATTCATTGAATATTTGTGGACTGTGTTTGTGAAATGATAAGCTACAGGATCCTACTATTATTAGGCAGCATATACTGGGAAGAGGGGATGTAAATGAGAGACTACTGCCAGCAACTGGGATAACTACTCATGAGGTCAGGTATATTTAATACCCTACCTCTATACAGCGCATAGCAAAATCTTCCACAAGACACCATGTGTCTGGCAGCAGAGTGATTCTTCAAATATCTGTTTTTCTTTACTGTATCTGCTGCTAGCAGTCATGTTACAGCTAATCTTGTTAATAAATTCTTGCACTAAAATTACTTTGAAACTTTGAGCAGTATGTTAGAAGTAATTTTGTTCCTCCTTTAGAAAAAGGAGGATCCTTTCTCACGGAGAGAGCTGCTGGGAACAAAATACAGGCTAATCACTGATTCATAGTTGTACTGAAGCTGCTATGAAGACAATAATTATATAGTTAGATACTAAAAAAATTATCTATCTGTAAAGAGTAGCTTGTTAAATTTCAACATCTGGACAAATCTGGCATTGGTTCAAAATTCAAACAATAGTTGTAAGTAGCATGTAACTCGAATGACAGCACTACTTATTACTGTTAATATTTCTTCCATTTTAACGTAATAAGAGACGTCTGCTGTCATCTTGATTTTTAAAGTAATAATATTCTTACTAAACAGATGGGAAAGAAAGTTAAAAACAAAATAGAGCGAGCATGAAACAAACAACAGCTTTACAACTTCCAACCTTTCCTTAAGGATCCATGTAATCCAGCCTATTTCTGTGACCTGAAGAAAGGAATATAGCTGTGGCTATGAATATTTTTGGTATGATGCTATTAGTGGTCACAATAAAGAATGTGCAGCCCACGTCATACGTTTTTCAAGAATGATTCAAATTCTTGTGTATTCTTGTTAATAGAGAACAGATAAACATTTTATCAACAGAAATGTTTCTCTTGATCTTAATGGGAGAATGGCTTCAAAAGGAAAGATAACTATTCTTCACTGACGGCTGTAAATACAGGTGTCCAATTAACAATTTTAGATCACTGGTTAAATAAGTATAGCTCACAAACTATGCTAAAAAATATTAAAAGGTTCTGTAAACCTCATTCTTAATGGGCTTATACTGATTTTAGATATATCTAATTGGACCATTTCTTTCTCTTTTTCTGTGTATTTGTTTAAGTCAGTGTGCCCTAGATACATAGACTACAGATTTAGCTTTCTTAAGTTATTACTAGTTATTAAATCATGCTGCAAATTGTTTTAGCTTTACCTGTAGAAGCCTAGATTTAACGAATGGCCCTGTGCAGCCATTGTGGCTAGGGGGACAGACCCAAAAGACCCAAATCTACTCATTCTGTGGTTTATAGGAGCCCCTGGGATATAAGACCCAAAGTTTCACCGACTCTTCTAGATTACTCTTTGTTGTATCCCTCTCCTTGTTTCCTTACTGTGTGCCACAAAGGCCTGAGGTGACTCCTCATACACTCTTTCCTTCCATCTTCCGGTTGCTCCGTATAGAGTAGGTGCAGCATTGGTCATCTTCTCCGACACAGATGAAGCTTCTGAAGCCAGAACTTCTTGTGAAGGGTTGACATGAACCCCTTTCTGGCTTTCTCTTCTGTAGCATGAATAAATTGACTGTTCTTTTGGGCATTTGAATCAAAGAGCTTACCTTTAGCAACTGTGACAGTTTTTGTATATTATCATTACATGTGTGGGGTTTTGTTTGTTTGCTTGTTTTTGTTTTTGCTTGGGAGAATTCTTTCCCATTCTGTAATCCTTTAAACACTGAACCTTTGCTGATTAGTTGTCTGATCTGACTTTATATTCGATGAAGAGGTTGAGTGTCTCTAGAATGCAATTGCTGCTGTTAATTTTAGCTTGCATTAATTGTTTGCTAGGTGGCAATTGCAATCCTGTGACTGTAGGCAGAGTCAAGGTGACCGGGACAGTCTACAGCCTGGGAAGCCGGAGCGGGTCCTTCCTAAGCAAGCTGGGTTTTGTCTTTGCTTTTTATGGACAGATTTGATTCTGGAATTTTGCCCTGTGAGTGCACAGGGCATGCCCACATTTCTAAAGAATTCAGTTAAGTCACTTCTGAAAGTCTTTGGCTGTCGAAGGTGTCTTTAAAAGTAATTTATCCTTTATGAAGTTAGAACTCTTTTAATCAAACAAAGCAAACACAGTATTCCTGTAAGTTTTACTGCCTTCAAAGAATAGCTAAAGAAATTGGGGACAATGTAAGCAGAGAAAAGCCAAATATTTGAGAGAAAAGCCAAATATTTGTTTGTAACTGTAATGTACTTAATGCAAATACAAATATTTGTTTGTAACTGTAATGTACTTGATGCAAATACAATGCACATACAGAGAAAAAAGGGTTTTCAGCTAATTTCATTAGTGCTGCTCTGAGCTGAGGAAAGCTTTGATAAAGGAGAGAGATTTCAGTCTGATATTTAAGGTACATAATATATCTATTGCACAGTATTGCCTTTGAAAAGCAGACTATATCTGCATGTGTATCATGAGGTGTATAAAACTGAAGATAAATTTTCATTTGTACTTTTTAAAAAGTTCTCAGATTATCAGAACTACATTGTGAATAGCTGTGTGAAAGAGAACCCAACAATGGAGAGGTCAATTGCTCTCTGCAATAGTATCTCACAGTGGGTGCAGCTCATGGTTCTCAGCAAACCAACACCACAGCTCCGGGCCGAAGTGTTCATCAAATTCATTCACGTTGCACAGGTCAGTTCAAATTTGACATGCTCAGTCTTTATTTTTGCTCTGAAATGGCAGTTTCATTTCCTTTCCCTCAAAATTATTGTTGAGCCAGCTATGATGGAGGAGTTAGCAGCAGTCTTCTGGTTTCATACATAGAGTATGTGTATTTAAGTATGCAGCAGTTTCATACCAAGTATTCACCTATTATAGTATCCTCAGTGGCACCATCACTTTGTCATGATACCCATTAGAAAGGCCCATTTTTCCCAAATACTAGACTTGCTTTTGAATCAACTCACTAGTTTTCTCTAAAGTACAAATCTCTAACATGCATTTGGCCATAAGGGGAAGTATTTTCACCAGATACCTCTAAGTGGACAGAAACAAAATTGTATTCCTAGCACTGTTCTTTGTTCACTAACTCAGCTGCAGTAATAGTGAATAGCTGCTGTAATAGGCAGTATTAACATGTTACAGTAGACAGTGGGAAGAAGTAGGAGTACTAAGGAGCCTTTGAAGACTTGATAATTTCACTATTAAATGTAGAATAAATCTTGTAAGACTTAGATACAGAATAATAAAGAAAAAGTAGAATTTGAATATACCTATTGAATCACTTCTAAACAATAAATATTGATTGTTTGTATGTCAACACAGAAACTCCACCAGTTGCAGAATTTCAATACATTAATGGCAGTGATAGGAGGTCTCTGTCACAGTTCCATTTCCAGACTCAAGGAAACGAGCTCTTATGTTCCCCATGATGTAATTAAGGTTGGTACTGCTTTCCAAAGTTTTGCAAACTTTGTATTTTTAGCAATTAAATGGCTTTGATCACTCATTGCTGGGAGACTAATGTTTTATTAGTGAGTTTTGTGTGTGTCTAGGAAATAGTAACCTTACTAGGAGTCTGTTTCATAAAGGTGTCTGAACAACCTGTTTGGATCATAATCTATTTAAAGAGCTTTAGTGGACAGTGAGCTTTGAGTATGAACTGGAATTAGGACCTCCCTTTATTCTTCAGTTGTTTTATAACATTTAACTTGCTCCTGGCAATGATTAGGAATGTACATTTTTCTTCCAGAAAGTGTTCTCCCCAAAGTTATATTGTAATTCCCTGACTTACAGTGTTGCACTTACAGCTCTCAAGGTTTATAAAACCCTTTTAGCAAGTTTGTTTTAAAAGCAACTTAAATTTCAGATTTTATTCTTGCAAGGAGTGGACTACATATATGCCTATCATTTGAATAATGTTTTGCATCAAGAAGTTTTAAGAAATTCGCCTTTAAAAAGGCGAATGTTGGAAATTATTTACTTGATAACGTATTTTAAAATTTAACCAAAAGTATTGCTTTGTAGAGGAAGGGATTAGATAGGCATTTCTATCTGAAAACACCGGTAGACTGACTTCAACTCTGAACTGTATATTTTTTTTTAAAAAGAGGAATCAACATAGCTTGACTGAAGATTCATTTATAATTGACCTTTATAACTAATCCAGTATATTGATTCTACATCCTACATCTACATGTGCCACTATTCTGGTCATTGTCATGTACACATGGCACTCAATAAGGTTTATTTGCCAAGAGGACTTTTAGGTAGCAATTTCAGCTGATGACCAAGAAGCCAGAGGAGCACAGTCCATGTTTTTGAGTTGAAGATGAAGGTCAGGACATGGCTGATAACTTGTGAATTCTCTCTCAAACATATCAGCAAAGACATTCCCTTATTTGTGAGGATACTATTTCTTTTCTTTGACTACATAAGGAATCTAGGAAAAGAGGCATTTCAGATTTGGCACCTAAGCTAAATAGTTAAAGTAAGTGATATGAGTATCAAAATTTCACCTGAGGCCTAGCAATTTAAATGATTTTTTTTTGAGTCTTTAGGAGTTAAACCTCTTATTAATAAAATGAGAAATTCTTATACCGTAAGACCGGAAAGTGTGTGACTAATTCTGCTGCTTTGTTTTATTTTTAGGTGTTCAATGAAATGACAGAACTGCTTTCGTCTTACAGAAACTATGACAGCTATCGACGTGCCTATAATGAGTGTACTCGCTTTAAGATTCCAATCCTCGGTGTCCACCTGAAAGACCTGATATCACTTTATGAGGCCATGCCGGACTACTTAGAGGACAAAAAAGTTAACATATACAAGCTTTACTCTCTATACAACCACATAAATGAGCTAATACAGCTTCAGGAAATACCTCTTCCCCTGGAGGCTAATATGGACCTTGTTCATTTGCTTACAGTAAGTCTGTTAGAAAAAATACCCCAGTTTTTTAAATGATGTTTGTGTACCTCTGAAGTAGCTAGTGCCATTAATTCTAAATGCATAATGTCTTAATGTTTCCTTTTAGGAAAGGAAGGAAACATTTATTCTTGTTTCACTACAGTAGCACACATTCTTTCTGCATTTTCCCTAAGAAACAAATATCTACTGCTTAAGCCTAAATAGGGAGAAAGCTATAATGCTTGTGTAGATGAAGTACGCATTGAGGAGAGGAGGCTGCATACAAAGCTCTCCCATGTTGAACATAAAAATCCTTGCAGAAGAGTTTACTCTCCTAGGATGTGTTAAATGTTCTCCATTTCTAGCTATCTGATGCAATACAACAAATAAACGGTATTTAACTAATTTTTATGTTTCCAGTAATAGGTGCCTAGTGCTAGCATAAAGTTAATACTCCCAAGCATGCAAATCTCAACAATTGTGTTAGCTACCCCTAGCAAGGTAAAATACTACTGTGTTTCAATCTTGTTTTTCACTGTTTTGTGTGGTCTTATAAGTACCTCAGACTAGAAAAGACAGATAGGGCAGTTTCACTTTCTGATTACAGCCTTTGTTGAGACAAAGAACTAGTAAGTAACATGAATCACATGAGTATTTTTTTGTTTCCAAGAGCACTATACTAATTGCAAAGACGCATGCATAAGCAAAGACGTAATGAGCAAATTTTCTTTTTTTTTTTTCCCAAATTCCATTATTTATCCGGGTGAAATGACTCTCTCTTAATATAACTGGTTTTGGCTGCTTAAGGTTTTCAGTACAGATAAGACCACCTCTTATTTTTATCAAATGTTGCTTATGGCCACAGCTGGATTGGATAAATCTGAGAAGGTTACAACGAGGCTTTCTGAGTTAGACTTGCTGGACATATTTGTTAGAACTGTGGTTCTGAGCGTAGATGCACAATGGAGCACTTCAATATCATGGGAACAGCATTTGTCCCTGGCTGCTTATTAACAGACTGCTAGTTAAATGCCTGCAGTTACTTGCTCTGTTAATGATTGTAGCTGTGTAATGTTACAGGTTTCCAGATAAAGGCCACTAGAGACTAGAATTTTGAAGTACACCCATTTCAAGTCACGATCAATACCTGGGTAGCTCAAGTGCCTTTTTTTCTGTGTTATAGGCTAAATTAATAATTAATCCACAAAAAAAAAAATTATTCCAGGAACAAATAAGTCAAGTATCAGTGACTGTCTTGGGATTAAGCTAATGTTGTGTTTGTTTTCAGTTGTCCCTTGATCTTTATTATACAGAAGATGAAATCTATGAGCTCTCCTATGCGCGGGAACCAAGAAGTCACCGAGCTGCGGTAACGGCCTTTCCAGATTCTTGACAGAAAGACTTTTTTAAATGAGTATCTTAAAATGAATGTGAAGGATTCTATTTAATATATACCAAACTCAAAGCATTTAACAGACTGAGCAAAATCTATCAAAGTGTACAGTGACTGATGATGAAGCCTAAGCTAAAGTACATGTGAGATTAGAGATGATGTCAGCTTTTATAATAGAAACATAAATCCATTTTTAGCTAAACTGGGCATCAAGCTCATTCTTCATAATCAATATTGATTCTTTTAAATTAAGAATTCCTACATGATTCAAATATTCAAACCCATGAGTGCTACACAGCTTCCCTCCCGTTTTAATAAATATTGAAAAGACAGTGGCTTATTTTGCAGAGAAATTACAGTTAATCAAAAATATGGAATGAAGCACAATGACAGTGGAAAAGTAATTATGTTGTTCTTTGTATAGTGACTGAAATGAAATTAGAAACCAATGAAATTATCATGATTTATGGTCAGTTATTTCTTAGAGTGAAATATTTCACTGATCAATGGCAATTGAAAAAGTCTAGGAAAAGAGACTAAGTAGATTGAATAGTGGCATTCTAAGATATATCTGGGAAGATAAAATTGTATATCATTAGATAATTATTAGAAAATTGGATAGAAAAGGTGTGGAGATTATCTAGTTGCTTGTGGAGATTGTCAGGGTGCCAGACGCAATCCAAGATGAACACATGATGATGGAGGAGACTTATTTTTTTAAAAAAGGAAGGAGGAGAAAAACAATGACATAGGAAAAAAAAAAAAGGAGTTTACAGGGTTGTCTGTGAACAATAGTGATTTAAAAAAAAATCTCTCTTCTGGGCACTTCAAGGAAGAGCTTCCTCTGAAGTACCAATATAGCAATTCCCAAAGGTATGATGTGGGACGAGGGAGGCAGTTTCTGTGACCGTGTGTCCAAGTGTCTAGTGTAGCAAATGAAAGAAGCACAACACTGAAATTACCTATGTGTGGTACTAATGAAGCTCCATATTATTTATTTTAGCCTTTGACGCCTTCCAAGCCACCAGTAGTTGCAGATTGGGCCTCAGGGGTTTCCCCCAAACCAGATCCAAAAACCATCAGCAAGCATGTTCAGAGAATGGTGGATGTAAGTATGGCAGCTGGAGCCTGGGCCTCTAGGTACGGAGCACAGGGAGCAGGGAAGGAGGAGGAGGACGCACGTTCAGAGTTGTGCTGAGCTCTGTCCTCACGCGTGCCTAGCTTCAAATGGCACTGGGAGCTGATGGTAACGCTGGTTTGTGTGTGTGCAGAGGCATCCTTCTGAGGATCCTTCCTTCCAAGGGCACCCAGAGCATGGTGTTTGGGGCAGTGCTTGGAAGCAGGCCTCTCTCCGGATTTCTCACGGGCTGCCATGGTTTTTTCTGGCCCCGTGGGGTTGTTGGATTTGCTGGGAACTGTTAGGTAAATCCAGGGGATTTGATGTTAAAACAGAAAGAAGAAAGAGGAGGTAGAGACTTTGTCTTTACATCCCTGCTTACATCTGTTTCTCTTCTAAGAACTAACATTGCTTGATATCCTTTGATGGTGTTCTAGAGTGCATTTCTAAAGGAGGCCTGTACATGTCCCTTGCCTTGGGACTATGACAATCAGTAATGTCACTCCACGGGCAGAAGTGTCAGCAAACCACTTCCTCATTTAACTATTTCTAATGTAACACTCCCCTGATGAATTCAGCTACTGCTAAGCTGCACTGATTGGGTAGAGAGATCATCAGTGAAAGCATTGAGAGTATTAATTATGTAATTAATTGTGTCTATGAGGCTGGCCATTATGATCTGGGAGAGGATCTAAGTAAGAGCAGCCACTGTGCAGTGAAGCACTTTGGCTGATGTGGCCTCCTCACCTGCATTTCGCTACAAATCAAGAGATTGTAGACTGCTTTAGACTCAAAGAAAGCGGTGAGAAGGATGGCTGCATTGCTAAATAAATACTCTGGGGAAGTGGGAGAGGAAACCTCAGCATAGTATGGAGAACTAAAATTACTCAGTATGAAGTCATTGTAAACTAGTTTATTTTATCTTAGTCTGTCTTCAAAAACTATGACCATGATCAGGATGGATACATTTCTCAGGAAGAATTTGAGAAGATTGCAGCCAGCTTTCCATTCTCATTTTGTGTAATGGCTAAGGACTGGTGAGTGTGTTAAAACCTTTTTAACCCTATTCTGCACATGAACTTTGTAGCATCTGTATTTGGTAGTGTGGGCTTTTCATTATTTATTTCTATAATTAGTATGGTAAAATCCTCCTCTGTTCTCCCAGGAATAGGAGCATTCACAACCTGCTTTTACTGCTAAGCATGTTGTGAATGACATCTTCATGGGCTTGCAGCACTGTTTATTGACTGGATGTATGAGGAAAAACAGAGTTACTAGATAAAGAAATATTTTTGAACAATATTCTGTATGTATTTAGTATATACAAGATTCAGTATATACAGTAGTATAGACAGTTCATAAGATGAACCCATTTCCCTGTGTATACAGGGAATTGTCAAATGTATGTTTTGACCAGATGAAGAACATTTTTATTAACATGTTTAGTACTATGGAAAAATACAACAGTGATTAGAGCTTTCCTTGTCTTCAGAAGGTTAAGTATCCAAATTCAGGAAAAACTACATTTTAACTCAGCACTAGAAAATAGTCTGAGGTTGCATCTCATATACAGATATTTTATATATTCTTCCAGGATGCATTTTAATGTGTAGGTAAACTTCTCAAGGCTGTGGGAGCAGTTGACAAGATTACTACCGTTGTTGTACTTTTTGGCCAAAGTATGTTCATTATAAATTGTGAAAGAAAGGTATGTTTAATTCTCCTTACATTTTAAAGAATGAAAGAAGGAATAAACATTTTTTCTTGTTTCTTTGCAGGGAAGGTCTCATTAGCAGGGATGAAATAACAGCATACTTCATGAGGGCCAGCTCCATCTACTCCAAATTAGGACTCGGCTTTGCTCACAACTTCCAAGAGACCACTTACCTGCGGCCTACTTTCTGCGACAACTGTGCTGGATTTGTAAGCTCACTTCTTAGTAAATTGTGTCAACATCTTTTACCATAATGCCTCTTTCTCCTGCCTAAATAATCACTGTTTAACATACAGAAATGAACTTTGAAGACTGGTGAAACTATGGATTGTCAGATTGTTGCTTACTTCATGACCCCTTTACACTCTTTGTACTTTTATCTGTTTTAACAGGACTCCTACTCCCATCTGTTTTTTGGCAGTGTTGATTCTTTGGCAAGGTTTCCCAGGGGTCTGTCAGAATGCTTGCCCTGGGACAGATGGGACAGGTCTCCTGCCTAGTGCAGATCTAGTAAAAATTACTGCCCTACCACTCCCCAGTTGAACTAGAACCAAATGCGAGTGCTGCTTTGGGATTTGCAATTCACCAGACGTTCTAGCACAACAACAACTTTGGGAGCTGTCACGTATTAGAGACTACATCAAGCTCTTTGTCCTAAAAAATGCACTTATATGTATCTGATCCTAAAGAGGGAAGTATTTCATAGTCTTTAACCTATGCATTGGAAAGAGAGGTTCTCTGCAGGTTGTAATATCACAGAAGTGGATGGAGCTTTGAAATTTTTTTTTTTTGATCTGGAGGTACATAATACTATCTTAATCCATGTTCTTTGTTTGCATTTCAGCTGTGGGGAGTCATTAAACAAGGATATAGGTGCAAAGGTAAAATAATTTATCCTTTGTTAATTTTAATCTATAATTGATAATGAATGGCAAAAAAAAAAAAAAAAAAAATCAATCCCTAAGATGCATTGCTTTATCTATGTGCCCGTTTAATCAGACCTCTCTGGGAGTAGAAAGCTTTGGTGATAAGTGTAAGGTGACCCACCAGGCTCAAAGACTAATGCAAAGGCAAAGGAACTCAGAACTGACAGCTGCAACTTTCTGCAAGTCTTCACTGAATGTGAGAGCTGATCTTAGATGTTACAACATGCCACTAAACAATGGGAATTTTGTTTGCAGACTGCGGGATGAACTGTCACAAGCAATGCAAAGACCTGGTTGTCATAGAGTGCAAGAGAAGATCCAAAACTTCAGTTGTAGAGAGCAGCCCCACATCAGCTCCACATCTTACTGCAAGCCTCTGCCCAATAGGAGTCAAAGAGCAGTTCCATGGTAAGGAAAGATCACCTTGGAGAGAACAAAGCAACAGGTCTAATGTAATAGTTTTGCCTGTGCTCCATTTTGTTTTAAGGCTGAGTGAGTGGGAAAAGAGATGTTGCAGGAGACATCACACTGAAAAACCTCCTGTGAAACTAATTCTAAAATGAATGTAAAAGTCCATGCTAAATGTTGTTCTCCTTACTTTTTAAAATCACATTTAATTATTATGCTTCCTATTTTTTCTCCCTTTCTGGAATAAGATTTTGACCCCATTTGCTGCGTATGTTCTCTAGGACACGAGGAAGGACCCTTTGCGTTTCCTAATGGCGAAGCAGTGGAGCACAGCGAGGGCAGCAAGGACCGAACCATTATGCTCATGGGTTCCTCAGCTCAGAAGATCTCAGTGAGACTGAAGCCAGCTGTGGTTCATAAGGGGACTCAGACTGATCCTGGACACGCAGCCAGAATGCCAGAAAACATTTACCTCCATCCTGCTGCACAGTCTCCCTTTCTAAGCCCAGTTCTAAATCGCAGAAAGGCCTATGTTAAATGGGAAAACAAGGACTCCAGCCGGAAAATGAAGGAGCATCACAGCTGTAAACCCTCATACCAGGAACTCGAGCAGGTAGGTGGAAATGAAATAAATTCTAATCTATCCAGCAGTATTACCAAGTGGGCAAAGGAACGGGGGAAGGAAAACAAATAATGTTTTCCAGGGTAGCTGACTGCTGCAGAGAAAAGCGAGGAGAGAACTCAGTTGCTGTTGGGCGTGAGAGAACTCAGTTGCTGTTGGGCGTGTTCTCTGCCTTGAGAAGTTGTTATTTGTATGCAGTCCCTGTCCACCTACCTGTGTTTGTATTACCTGCACATCTGTAAACACACCGGAAACACAATCAATCCAAAAAAAACCCCACCCCACCTTCTGTAGAGACAAAATGGTTAATAAATTAAACTGTAAAATACATTCCTAATAGAAGGAAAAAAAATAACAAGTAGAAATGTATGCGCTTGTGTGTTTAAGGTACCCTTTATTGTTTCTGTGCTCAGGAACTGCTTAATTAAGTTTCAGATCATCTCACACACACACATAATAACATAACCTAGGCAGTCAACTGAAACAGAAGTCTTGAATCCACTTTAAAATCCACTACTGTTCACTGTTTTTTTTTCTTTAGGAAATAAGTATCCTGAAGGCTGACAATGACACTTTAAAGATCCAGCTTGAACAGGCACATAAAAAATTGGAATCTCTCTCACTTCAGAGAAGAAATCATGTTTTGGACAACATACAACACCGAGACTTCTCCTAGCAATGAAGACAGGAAGTTTCCTGTGGAAGAATGTCAGGCTAAAGGAGGGGCTGTGATCAAGCTGCTTTATCAAGTGGCCAGAAAATAGACTGAAGGTTTTTAAACCTGAAATTTTTCAGCATATTTTGCTATGAAAAATATGCTCACAAATGTATAAATACACTCATCTGACTTTTTAAGGTAACTGTATTCTGAGCAAGGAAACTAGTATCTCCTGGAATTACTCTGAAAACAGAGTGACCCTGTTTCTGAAGTCCATAATGAAGATGAGATGGAGTCCCCAGTGACTTGACTGCAAGCAGTGCATCTTACTCTGCAAGTATTCTGACAAAGCCACTGTTCTTCAAGCCTTGTTAACTCAAATTTGGCCCAATTCCAGGCTTAAGAAACAAACATTTCACAAAACTAAGCATTTAAATAAAACCCTAGAAATATTCCATTAAGAGAAACACAATTCCTTCTCCTCTTAGCTGAAACCTATGAAAATCATGAAGTGTACTATTGCCACAGTTTTACAGGGAATACTAAAATGAGCAGTTAAACTAGTAATATTTGATTTTTTTTTTTTAAGGATAAACTGACAATTTTTAAAACTTGCAGTCCTTATGAGCACTGCTGCTCGAAAGTTTGCCTTACAGCAAGTAAAATACATGAGACTAGTGCGAGTTTACACTGAACACTCCTTCCATTTTTTGTGTTTCTTGTTACACCTCAGCCCACATTACCTCTTCCTCCTGGGCTTAGGGGACTGTCTACTTTAGATGCAGAATAAGACCATTTTTTAATCTTATGTAAAAGTAACATCAGAGTTACTTACAACAACATCTGAGTAGAAGGAAGGCCCTAGTATGAAGGGAGGTGTAGAGCAATCCCCATACAGCAGTTACTGTCCCAGAGCTTCTAACTGCCTCCAATTCTGACCAGGTTCTCTCTTCTCCCTGCTCTTGCATGTACTTACGTAAAGAGTCAAGGTTAAGTGTCCTCTTCCCTGTGTGAATTCTGTACAGCAAAAGGTGCTAGTGAGGTAACTTCAGTTTCTTAAAGCTACAAAATGTACATAGTATTAAGGGAGGACACAGCCAACTTGAAAATTTCATTTGTGTTCCAAGAAAACCTTAACTTAGAGCTGTATAAAAATTAATTGCATTTATCAGAGGGATTGGTCATCAAAAATATTTAACATCAGAAACTTATGATTTTATATTTCTTAAAGTATACTTAGTGTTGTTTAAAACTCTTAACTTTAAAAGAACAAAGACTACAGTAAGCAACTTGAAAGCTGACCTGTTACAATACCATGTATACTTGGTTTAAAATGGCATAAATGTATATTCCATCCCCAATTTAGTTTAATTTCAAAATTAATTAATCATCCCCAATTTCAGTTTAATTTCAAAATTTATAAATGTTTTTGAAATGTTGCTTGAAACTACTTATCATACTTGGTGAGCTCGAGTTCTTGAACTGAACTTTGATCATGCTTGGATCTCCATGATTAAGTAAAACCAAATGGAGAGACAATGGTGGTGGTAGCTTTTCTGTTACATTCATGTAAATATGTATAGTATGTAAAGAAATGAGATGCATGTGACAGAACAACAGCTTTTGATCCTCATACACTAAACCAAATTTTTAAGTTAACATGAAATTGCACTTTGTGATCAAGGATGTAATCAAAATGGCTCTTGGATCATGTTTGCAAACTTGCTTTGCCCATACCTTGTAAGCATTTATTTTTGTTCTCTATGAGGAGAACTCTATGAAGTAGTATTTCTATTAGGTATTTAGCAGATAAAAGTTATTTTTACAACAATAAAAATCAAGAAGATACATGTAAATATATTATTTTGCAAGTATGTGAAATATACTTTCACATATATGGAACATATATCGCTCCCAAACAGCACTTGGGATTGATAAATGCTATTGCTCAATTAACTCTGCGAGCTTTGGCTATAAAGTCTGGATTCTAATAGACAAACTGTATCTGCAGGAAAGCTGTTATAGAAATCAATCATGAATAAACTTGTAACTTAAAAAGAAAATTCTCTCAGGTCAGCGGCTGGCCTACAGGCACTCGGCTAGGATCAGAAACCTAAACCACTGACAGAAGCAGGAATAAGCTTGGCCATTTTAGCTTAATACTCAAAATTAAGTTATGACTACAGCCTTGTACAGTCTGAAATGCTAAGCTCGTATTTCCCCCATGTCCTCCTGCTCGTTCAGGAAGCTGAATGATCTGAAAGGAGCAGTTTGTGGGAGCCTCTCACAGAGCAGGCCGGGGCTGCCTCCTGTGTACTGGAACCGTCCTCCTTCAACAGTCTGTACAACTGGCAAGGGATAATGTCAGTCTGCAGCCCTGGCAATGGAGAATTCCGAGCTCTCCACGCTCCTCCTTTGCCCACAGCCCCATGCTGGCCCCTTCTCCCTCCTCCTGGGACCTCCCTTCGCGCTGCGTGACGGACCCACGTTAATGGCAGGAACTGACTGCAGGCCACAGCGCCCAAACTGACCTTGCTGAAAACCGCCGAGCAGCTCTCTCATCATCCTGAATGTTTAACGCAGACAAAAAGGTAAAGGACCAAGTGCTAGGTTCAAGTCACCTTAGCACACAGGGCTGGTAATTAGCACTCTTTACAATTTACCTTGTCGTGGCTTCTGTGAAGAGAAGCGTCCACTTTTTCCCCCTCTCCAGGCTCAGCTGTACCTACAGGAAGCAAAACCCACTGTCTCCTCCTACTCATTTATTTTCTCAATTGGAATTCTGAACCTTTAGAGATAGAAGCTGTTTGAATAATATCCGAATTGACATGCCAGGCGTACTGTGGAAAAAGCAGTTAAAGTAGCTTACCTTTTTTCTTTTTTTATTTTGAATTATCAAAAAGTTGACGTTCTGAATCGTCTTTGTTGTAGTAGCACTGTTATATTGTTGTAATTGATCTGTATCAATGACAGCTTGCAGAATTTTTGTTTTAAGGCTGTTAAGATGTCTGAAAAAGTGTACAGATTGTAAAGATTTTATATATAGTGTAAGTTTTTGGTTTAATATTTATAGAAAAACATTAAAATTGCACTTCACGCCTCTGAGTTTGTATCTCAAAACAACTGAAAATAACCTGCTAATTAACATCAGAGTCTTTAGCCTCCCTTTACTTCTTACAAGCCTTAGGGAAGCCTTGGAAAGGTGCCGGACGGCAGGTTGTTCCTTCAGTATTACAGCAGTTTCAGACAGTTCAGACATTTTTACCAGGCTCTAGTCCATGTATTACAAAGCACGGTTCTTCAGGAGCCCAATTCCTCCTTTCTGTTAACCACACTAAATCTGGAAGCAGCACGATAGCTAAGAAGCACAGACAAGGCATCTCTTATAGTCTGCTATGCACAGTCTATGTATCACCCTAAAAACCAACTTACTCCCTTATTTTAAAAATTCATGGATGTTTTCATATGGAGAAAATGAGCATTCAATCATTCTACAATACTGGAGGGAAGGAGGACAGAGGGAGGGAAGGGAAGAAAAAGGGGGCCTGAGGACTCCTGAAAACACTGACTCTGTGTGTAGGGGCAGAGCTGCCCTCCAGCCTCGCACGAACACAACACGCAAGGCGCGCTTGCCATTCAGAATTACAGAATTGAGAACAGGGAAATTTAACGAGTAATACAAGAACATTTCCTTAGTTTACATAAAGACAAATAACCATATAGATGAAATAAAGTATTAGATAATTAATCAGAATTAGCTATGATTATTAGAAAGGATCCTATAGATGCCTTTTTTTTTTTTTTTTTTACTACAATAATCGAATGTTCTTCAAATAAGAGACAAGGAAGTCTTAATAAAAGACAAGTCCTCCCTGGTGCCCTTTTCCCAAGGTGTTAACTAGTGTCTTTGCCTGCTCCAGTTTAATCAGAACATACCTGTCAGCAGGTGCTTTAGCATCACACTAAGTTTCATCACTTTCCAGTGACCAGCAGGATTTCCTCCTTACAAACACAGGAGCAGTAAGAGGTAGTAGATCTGAATCACACTATACAGTGAAAATAACTTCAAGTACAGGACTTTATTCTTTCATGCCTACAGCTCAAGAGAGACAAAAGTCTCTCTTAAATCCACAGAAAGTTTTTTCAAATCTTGGTCAGACCAGTACTCAGACAGCTGTGAATAAACACTACATGTGAACAAGCACTAAAATGCTCATAGGCACGTATATAAAAAACTTAGATATTTCAAAAATATCTAAGATCTTTAAGATCAAAAAATACAAAACTTAAGAACTTATCAAAAGATGCAATAGTGCCATGAAAATAAGTTATTACCATACATTATGACAACAGAAGACTGAGGATACCTCTGAAATGTGGTCATGCTCTCTTTGCTTTTCTGATTCTGATGTTACACTTTGGAATTATTTAATAAAATCTGAAAAGATAAAGCTAAAAAAAAGAAACCTCCTAAAAATGAGAGAAAAAAAATCTTTCACCAAACTCCATCCTCTTTAAGTTTACATCTTTTACAGGATAAACAGGGCATAATTGAAATATTGGAACATTTTAAAACTAGAATATTTAAAATTAACCTGTGGGACACAGGTGCCTTCCCAGGATGACAGCAGAAGCTGACAACTGCTTAGGCCTCATGTGTGCATGTGGAAGTAAACTAGAAATAATAAAGTAGAAGCAAATCAATAAACTGTAGTGTTAGCAACGGGGTGAAATGAAGCCCACGGAAGGCTTCATTATTTTAGGAGTTATTTAAGGAGTTTGCATCCAAAGCAAGATCTTCAAGCAAGGGAAAAAACTGCCCTTTTCTGGCAGGTACCTGCTGGGATGCTAGAGGACGGGGAGGCCGCATCCTAGGCGGCGGTCTCAAGCACAGTGATCAGAGGGAAATAAGAACAGGAGAAACATCTGAATTTCACCTGGAATGAAAGTTCAAATCAAACGGTTATTACAACTAATTAATAAAATCTGCCATGGGCTTCTTAAGGAGATATCACCATTTCAACAGAGCTTCAGCTGCATGCAGGCTCACAGGCGCCTGAAGGTGAAACAAGGGCATTAGAGGCTGCTGAACACAGACCCTAATCGCAAAGCAGGGGCCGTAGCGGCCAAGGGGGCACAGAAGGGGAAGGGGCCGAGCGCGCCCGGCCGCGGCCAGCGCCCCTCACCCGGGTCCCTCCGCGCACAGCCCGGCCCCATCTCCCTGTGGGTGCAGCAGGAAGGGCTTTCCCAAGGCACAGCCCAAGCCGTGTCCGTGAACGCTGCAGCAGCAGCTCTGTAACACCCACGGTCTCACCCAGATGCTCTTCATCCACAGTGACATTGCCTATGGAAGTGCAGGCAACTATTAGGAGCTTTAGGCTATCATGGTGGCTGGCAAAATAAAAATAGAGAAGATTCTTACAGTAGCATTCACACTGTTCCTACAGAAGTCAAGGGGCAAAGGCAATAAAAGCAGCAAAGCTACTCCACCAATTCCCAAATTCAATTCCCAAATACAGAAAAAGTAAAAAAAAATCTCAGGAGCTCCATACTGGCAACTTATTATTTAACTTCTGCATCAGCCTTGACACAGAAGGAACACTTCAGTGATCCACCACCTGAATAGCTGCATAAGTTTTCTGCCCACAATGATCTAGAAATAAGAAACGCCAATAAAATAGAAAATAGGCAAAATGAAGACAAACACTATCAAAACTCACCGTTAATTTGATTTTATAGTACACACTGGGACCTTCCAATAGTCCCTCATGGATGTATGAACATATGAACTGTCGAGTGTATGAACCGAGTGTGTTACCTGTATGGAAGTTCTGGAAACATGTGAAAGCTGATCCACCTATCCGGATCAAAGCTGCAAGCATTTGCACATTCAGTATTGTAATTCTGTCACAGGTCTCACGTGGGAAAATAAATGAAGAGAAAACCCTAAAAGTAGCATTCGAGAGTCCTTTCAAAATGTTCCTACCAGGTTCTTAAGACTATTTTTTTCCCCCTGCCAGGAAGAAGAGCTTTTTGGGAAACCGGGCCAGAACGGTGCAATATGGAATAATTAGAGCAACCGGAACATTAACCAGTACTTTTTTTTCTTTCTTTTTTTTTTTTTTTTAAAAATGGTTTTATTCAGTTTTCTGATGCTTATTTTAAATAAAATGACATTTAAAAAAAAAGAAAACAACACACGAGCATTGTGAAAAACAAGGACGTCGTTCATCTTGTTTTAGTATAAAAGTTTTGTTCAGTTAACTAGAAGAATTCAGTGACACCACCAGTTGGTCTAATGCAATGATTTTTATGGTCACACTTGATTCTAACCTAAACCAAATGCAACGTTATCTAAATCCCTGACACCAGCAACCACCAGCCCCGGGTGCTGCCAGTTACTGTGTCGGTATCCGCTGGATGTTCAGTATCTTCGGTACCCTCCCCTTCCTCCATAGGGATCCCCGTAACCCCCCCTGCCGCCATAGCCCCCCCTGCCACCATAGCCCCCACCGCCGCCCCCAT